CAGCATCTGTTGCTGCAGGGGTTACCCCATTAGCAGATCTGGTCACAAAGGCTGAGTTCCAAGCCTATGTTGATATAGTGACGCGGTCCTTGGATGACCTTAAACTCATCATACAAGGGATTGTGGAAAACCAACCCTCACCCACACACACTCACACATCTAATATATATATATTATATATATATACTTATTTCTAAATCTATAAATAAAATTGGAAACCCGAATATTACAACATTCCCTCCTTAAAATAATTTCGTCCCGGAATTCCATTTAAGCAAAAAGGTAGGGATACTTCATCTACATCTCAGACTATGATTCCCAAGTGGCGTCTAGTCCCTTGTGATAACGCCACTGAACCTTTACTAATCCAACCTCTTTATTTCGCAACTTCTTTACTTTGAAGTTAGTAATCTGTTCAGGGGTTTCTTCAAAGCATAACTTTTCATCCACCTTAATTTCAGGTAACGGTACTGCCACATCTGGACTTATTAGATACTTCCTTAAATTCGACACATGAAACGTGTCATGAATCCCACTTAACTCCAAGGGAAGTTCTAATTTGTAAGCCACTTCCCCAACCCTTCCAATAATAGGGAATGATCCAACATATCTTGGACTTAATTTTCCTCTTTTTCCAAAACGTACCATTCCTTTCCAAGGTGATACCTTTAAACTCATCGAAGCTTACTTCAATGCATGATAATAACGACTTACATTTATTACATCAATCATTACGTATGGTTTTTATTACCGGAATAAAAGCGTGTGCGATCATTAACTCACAAGATCATAACGCAGAAGCCAAGATTCATGACAAATCAATATTAACGTTTTCTACATTCAATGGAAACTATAGTCGACCGTTATCAATCGTTGGCACAGTCCTATGAGTCACCTATAAAAGGCCAGAAGGTCTCAAGAAACAACCCCTCGGATCATCATAATCTCTATGCATACGAAATTCACTAGCAGAAACAATCATTGTTCTTTGTTATTTTCTACGACCGATGCCCAAAATATTACTTATATCATTGTAATTTTTCAAAAGAACGATGCCCCTGATTGACGTCCATAGTGCATCGACGATCTCTAGTATTTTCCGTGGTTACATTCTACATCTCATTCCAACTATGAGTTCTACTTATAAATCACTAGTATACTTAGCATTTTAGCAACAAAAAATAAAATAAAAATTTAAATACACTTAATATGTAAAACATGCTTTAATATATAATGGATACTTAGAAGTATTAGTTAAGTATAATTAGGAGGGCGGATGTTACAA